CATTAGCACCTCTAGTAATATATTTACTGAGAAAAATGTTGACGTGTTCAATACTTATTTTACCCGCTGTATATAGATGTAAATAAAAAAAAACAAAAACACAATTCAATAAAGTCTCTTCCTAAAAACAAAAACAAACATGAGCACCACTTTCAGTTCAGTGGTAGACCATAACCACAACGATTTGCTTTCATAAGCTGAAAGGTTTGGCTTTCTTTGAGGGGTTAAAGCTGTTGTATCCATAGTAACTATTACTTAGCAACAAAATTCACAGAGATCTGTCTAAGCTGCAAACTATTGTGGAGATGAAAGAAAAAGAAAAGGAAGACAAAAAAGGCTCTTAGAGCTTGACGGCTCTGACACRCATTTTCAGGCATGAGCTGCTGAAAATGTGCTGAGAAACACATGCAGACGTGTGCTGAGCAGGACTGTAAACTCGCTGCGACGTATGCAAATGCAGGAACTGCAGGGCCGTCGCACACTTACCAGACGGGGTAAACTCCCAGCCTGGAACTTATGAAGAGAATTGCAAACATTGCAAACAGGAGGTTGCACAGTATCTGACACTTGGCGTAGTTGGCCATCTTGGCAGCCTGGGTTTTAAAACATAAAAACAACAATGAATTTTTTTAACAACGACACAAGGGAGCTAGAAAATATTAGTTTCCGAGTGAACACATGTGGCTCTATCTCTGTGGCATGTCTTTGTGTGCGTGCAGAGTCAAACTGATTTATTTAACAGATAAATCTCAAGGTTCGAATAGTAATTAAAATATATGTCCTGCGGGTGGTGTAGAAGCAGCAAAACACTGGTCAATCACAGCTGAAGGACAAGACAAAGATGAGAATCTGACAGAAAACAAAGAAAAGCAGAGAGAATTTTATGCCGAGCGAGGGTAATGAGAGAGTAGTTGAATATATCTGCACCAGGTGTTTCAAAAGAGCAGGAAATGAGACAAACTAGGGAGACTCAGAGGGACTACAGTAGAAGTCAGCTGATTAAAGGCTGATTTGTTTGTTTTTGGCTCATAAAAGTTACACAATAACATTCAGTACAGTCTACCAGATCTTGGAAATAAAAAATTAATTGCTTTTAATTTAACCCTGAAGCATGTTTTTTTTAAAAAAAAATACTATGAATGCTGTTCCAAGCAAAAAGTTGTAAAAACAACATTTACAACTTATTAAATTTGATAAATAAGGAAAGCTTAATTAAGATTTTCACTGGTAAATAAGTACAACACCATTCTTTCTAAAATGATAATACTCAAATTAGTTTCTTGTAGGTGTTGTTGGGTGTATACTTGTCAACTTGTACGGACTGTCCGTAAGTTATAAGGATTTTATGTCATTTTGCAGGTATACGGACAAATGGGGCAATCTCACGGATTTTTTCAAGTCTTACGGATTTTTTCAAAATCTCATTTTCAAATTTATCTAACATGTCAGAGCCTGTAGGATGATTAAAAAAACAATAAATAACATCAAACAGCCATCTTCCAACCTGTTCTGCCGCTAGAAATAAGTTCTGACAGTAGCATCAGGCAGTTTCTACAGATTTGTTGGCTGCACATCCATGATGTGACTGTCCTGTTCCACCACATCCCAAAGGTGCACTGATGGATTGAGATCTGGTGACTGTGGAGGCCATTCGAGTACAGTAAACTCACTATGTTCAAGAAACCAGTCTGAGATGATTCTCACATGGGGTGTTATCCTGCTGGAAGTTGGCATCAGAAGATGGTACACTGTGGTCATAAAGGGATGGACATGGTCAGAAGATGGTACACTGTGGTCATCAATGGATGGACATGGTCAGCAACAACACTCAGGCAGGCTGTGGTGTTGACTYAATGCTCAATTGGCACTAATGGGTCCAAAATGTGCCAAGAAAATATCCCCCACATCATTGCACCACCAGCCTGAACCRTTGATACAAGGCAGGATGGAYCCATGCTTTCATGTTGTTGACACCAAATTCCGACCCTACCATCYGAATGTCGCAGCAGAAATCCAGACTCATCAGACCGGGCAACGTTTTTCCAATCTTCTATTGTCCAGTRTTGGTGASTCTGTGTGAATTGTAGCCTCAGTTTCCTGTTCTTAGCTGACAGGGGYGGCACCCGGTGTRGTCTTCTGYTGCTGTAGCCCATCCCCCTCAAGGTTCGACATGTTGCGCATTCAGGGATGCTCTTCTGCAGACCTCAGTTGTAACAAGTGGTTATTTGAGTTACTGTTGTCATTCTATCAGCTCCAACCAGTCTGGCCATTCTCCTCTGACCTCTGGCATCAAGAAGGCATTTGAGCCCACAGAACTGCTGCTCACTGGATATTTTCTCTTTTTCAGACCATGCTCTGTAAACCCTAGAGATGGTTGTGSGTGAAAATCCCAGTAGATCAGCAGTTTGTGAAACACTCAGGCCAACCCGTCTGGCACCAACAACCATGCCACGTTCAAAGTCACTTAAATCACCTTTCTTCCTCATTCTGATGCTCAGTTTGAACTGCAGCAGATCATCTTGGCCATGTCTACATGCCTAAATGCATTGAGTTGCCGCCATGTGATTGGCTGATTCAACATTTGCATTAATGAGCAGTTGGACAGGTGGACCTAATAAAGTGGCTGGTGAGTGTATATATTTTTGTGAGAGAAAGTCACCATGAATTTCCACCTGTTTTTTTCTTGCATATTTATTCAGTCCTCTTCTCTGTACTTTTAACAGGATAACTAGTAAATACCACTAGCATTATCACTCAGATAATATATGSTAAAAGAGAAGCTGCACTAACAATGACACTTTGTGTCATGGGCTGCACCTCCTGCACAAGAAAGCAAATCCGATGTACAGAAGATAAACAAAGACTACCTTTCAATTAAGACGGGCGGGTGGTGGTGGTGGTGGTGGTGGGGGGTTACTGTGAATGCTCAGCCCACACACGCTCGCTCGCTTTCAGAAGCACATTCATCCGTCTGCGGCGCTTACAGTAATTGTCTTTGCCAGACCCTTACCTCTATCAGAACATCTGCTGCGTCGTGTAGACACATGACCAGCGTTCCCACTCGTGCCATGTTGTTCACGTAGGAAAATATGATGAGAGAGATGGTGGCCACGTGGTGCAAGAGCATGATCAGAAAATCCTGGGGACACAGTGGCCGAGAGGAAATCGATGAGCTACAGAAACTGTTTGAAAACATCACAAAGGAGCAAATAAAAAAAAAGACTAGTACAATTGTCCTCTATGAAAATAAATGGGAAATGTAAAACTGAGGATGGTGTAAAAACTTTATGAAAATTGTTTAAAAATGGCAGCAAGCTAGTTGTTAGCTTGTCAATCAGGCCAGAGTGAAACTCTTTTCAAATAAGGACATTTAAACTGGGGATATAATGCATTCTCCAGGTACATAGTTCAATTCTATACCACATTCAAGTAACTATGTTACCTTCAGTTGRTATGAAAATGCTGAATATCAAAAATACATACATTTCATTTTGCATCATTATCTATCTAACCTTGAAATTAGTCTCTGTTGCTCTGCACCTCCTACCATTTCCAACACTACCACTTCAGCACATTTTCACAATGCTTCGGGGTAGAGGTGATCGGTGGGGGAGGGGGGGGGGCTCGGCTGCAGACTGAGCTCTAGGGAGGAGCTTTGTGTAAATAGGCAGAGCTTTGTACCAGCAAGCATCTAGGCAGCTCTACTGTAAATGACTACCGCAGGAGATTCAAGGATTTTTCAAACATGCGTGAATGAGTCAAATGTAACACTCTGGGTAAAAAAAAAGGGAAAAAAATTGTATAGGTCTTCTGGACGGGTTCATAAGAACCCGTCCAGAAGACCTATACAATTTTTTTCTTTTTGATTTTTTACCTGGATTACTGAGATGCATCAGGACAACACTCTGGGTATGTTTTTGATCAAGGAATGACATTATAATGTAATGCAAAGCTAAAAAAAATTGATTTTGCATAATATCCCCCTTTAAAGAGTCACCTAAACAGGTAAGATAACAATTGTTCAGAACTTTTTCACAGAATCCCTTCAAACAATTTGAAATTGCAAATGTTTCTTGTTAGAATAAATCAAAAAATGAAAACAATAATCAGACTCACTAAAAAACAATCACTAAGTAACTAACTAAAGTACATGACAACTAGGCTGTAATTCCGTTGTGGTTAAGGGATTTGGATAGCTTTGCGCTGAGCTCCAAATGAGAGAAAGAAACAGTGAGTGAAATGAGTAAGCATTCCTCTGGTAAATCTTTAGCCACAGAGATGTTTCAGCATGGTAGCTCAAAGCACTAAGAACCAGTCCCACACGGCGACTGTGAGTGAACGGGAGGGAGGAAGGGAAGGAAGCGCGGTGACACGGAGTGAAAAACGAGGCAAGAGTGTGCAGGGAGGAACATACTGGAACTGGCAGGGGATGGCAGAGGACCTCCTCAGTGTAGTGCTGTGCATGAAAAAAACTGAAGGGAGAAACAAGACAAAACAAAAAAACAGACAACATGCCAACAGTCAACAGAGAAATGAGAGTGAAGGCGTACAACATGGCATTGTGCGTGTTTGTGTGTGTGGTGGGAAGGATGAAGCTGGGGGTGGACCAAAGGCAGCGGTAAGAGTATGAATGCAAGGCATGCAAAGGTTGAACCAAAACATGGTTTTCATTGAAAATCAAATGTGATATGATATGATTCTTTTGAACTGAATCTGACAAAGTTAGACCTCTTAGAAGATGCTAAATTTACAAAATAAATAACCTGTGGAGCGCAAATGATTTAAAGCTCATTTTTTCACAAAGATCTAAAATAAAGTACTTCAAGTTAGGGAGGCTACATTTACCCCTAATTTACACTAGATGCAGTTCGCAGCTGTTCGTTTGCACCCCTATTTACACAGCGTCCGCTCTGCTCCGGTGCGAAACACAAAGGAAGTCTGAGAGACGTGTGCAGAAAATGCGAGATCGCGCGATAAATGCAGTGATAAATTTGGAAGACTGACTCCAAACCCAGTTRAAACTGTATCGCTGTCATGTTTTTGAAACTTCTGATTTCAAAACAAAATCCACGTATATTGCGTGTACACATATGCTTCATGCTACATGTTGCCATCTGCTTCCCAAACAGAATGATACATTTTGACACAAAGCTATGATTTTGACAAAATTAGTCTGCCTTAGGTGAATTATTTTGAAAACACGGATGTTGTGCTTGTTCCTTTTCCTGTTGGTGGGACGTGATGTTTGCAGATTAACTCCGGTGTCCGGCAAAAAATAGGATCAAATCTAATTTTGATGGATCGCTGCCCGCTTACTGCCATCTTGTGCCACCTTGCACCGCCCTCCGCTGCTCTCCGAAACCGTGCGGTGCCAATGTAAACACTCATTGATTATAATGGTTGCATATTTGCTGTGGAGTGGAGCCACATCGAGTGTAAATTAGGTGTAAATTTAGCCATATAAAATATACATTATACCAAACATAAACAGTCATTTTAATATTAATACTAACCTTAATTAAGATGTTATTATTTAGGATATACAGTATAAGAGGTAATAGCAGAGAAAGTAGAGGTCCAGCTGATAAAATTATATTTTGCTGATATGACTTTAGGGGCCCTGTGATGTGCGCTTTATGGGACTTAGGCATCAGTATAAAAATGTTTAATCTCTGCTTCTTCAGTTGCTTAATATCAAAATGTTGCACCTCTTTCTGAGAGTGAAACATGTGTCAGAAGGAATCAGTTGAATAATCAGCTAATTTAAAGTTGTTTTCCTGGGTGGAAACGACAAATCAGTAGTCTAAAATATTTTAGTTCAAACAGCTGCACTTTCTCTGGCCCTGTTTTCAGCATTTGAGGAAATTTATCCAAATAAGTTTAACACAGCGACACAAAATATGTCATTCTAACAGATCCAAAACTTACTGAGTAGATGAAGCAAATGAAAAGATTGAGAGCACTTTTATAATGTCTGATTGTGATTTTTGATTTTCTGAATAGAAATTCTAAATCAAACACACTAAACCTGGGAAAACATGATAAAACTGTTTCTAAAATGATTCTTGTTACAGTAATTTAAATATGTGGCTGTAATATGTACATATTTAATGGACTTACCTTCCTCCTGATGTCTGTGAACCGAGAAAAGAGTAACGACAGGTAGAAAGACAGCTCCAGTATATAATAGTAATGGATGTCCACAGTCAGTGGCTGCACACACACAAATACACACAAAGTTACATTTTAAAATATTTCATYAACAAGCTGTGCTAATGTTACACTAAAAGCATAATGCAAACTTTTACCTGGTAAGGGTAGTTGTACCAGCACTCTTTAGTGTTCCACAACCATGGAGTCTGCAGACCATTAAGAGTTCAATAAAATTAATACATTTAATCTTGATTACAGGTGTATTTAAAATTTAAGATACAAACCATTACAAAATGATTGTAACACATTGTTTTCATTCAGTGTCCTAGAGAAATAAACTAAACYAAGCAGGTGTTTTCTTTCATTCACTCCTGAGTAAAACGTGTTCAAATCAAACTGTGAGCCATCACTCTGCCCAAGCTTCCATCTGCTGTACGCTTSTAGACCTGCTCTATTAATAAACCCTGCAGAAGCTGGAGGCCGACGCCTGCAGAAGCAGCCACCACCGAGTGAACTATTTTCACAAAGTGCTTTGTCATGCAACTTGTGTCTCTGAAACATCCCCCCCCCCCACCTCTTCTGCTTAGCTGCTGGGTGCTGTAGATGTCGTTTTTCTAAGCACTTTCATGAATATATGCATGACTATGTGAAAACTTTCGCAACCATTTTTTTTTTTACTTTGCTTGACTGACTTATTTTAAATTTCTCAGATTGTTGTTTCTCCTCAGCAGCATTGGCACCTGCTGGGATCACCAACGTTCAAAGAGGAGCGAGCCGTTTTGCTGGGTGTACCGGGACGCTCTGATCATCCTTGTCTCCTGAATCTAACCAGACACAGAGCAGCGCTGCGGGGAGATTTATTTTTACAAGATTTACTAGATTTTAATAYTTTTATTATAATCTGAAAACTGGTGCAATATTTACAACTGTAAAATATACAACAGTACAATATTATTATTCCTTAGAGGAATGCACATGGTCTGCTGATCTGCATGCCAGAATCTTAGACAWCTTGCATAATTTGCTCAAAGTATGCGTTGGAGATGACTCTCAGCTAATCCCACAACAAATTTTAGCTCAATATCTGTAAAACTGAGAGAGCTGTAGCCTATTTTGTGTATGCTAAAATTAATTCGCARTGGGGGCCATCTTGAATCAGAATCAATCCTAAGGCTAATCAGTTGTGGAGGGCCACCCAGTGATCTATTCATCAGMGTTTTATTAAAACATGTGCAATGGTTCATGWGATATTTTGCTAACAGACAAATAAACAYGCACACACATTGACATGGATCTCTCCACAGTATGTCACTATCAAACACATAGATGCCAAACAAAACTGACCTTTTTAAGGAAACGTACTCCATAAGTAAATATGTACAAGTAGAATGTAAATCTCCACCTGAAAAAAAAAAGATAAGTATAAATCTTGTTAGTTTTCCATTCTCACCACTATTAGGAGAAACATCTGCACAATTTTGTTTCAGGGACACAACCTTTAATATTTTGCAAATAAATGTATCTGGTTCTGAGAAGCCTTGAGAGCGTTCTGTTTCTAAAWGATGGAGTTTCTAAATGTTCCTTTTAGCATTGGAACATTCTTTCTGTTCTTCTGTTGAACGTTTTTTAATWGAGCAATTTGAAACAAGCGATTTCGGATTTTGAATCTGAAAACATCAAGACAACAAACATTTATTATAAAACATTTTGTCCAGCACAGGTGAGTGACATCCTCGCTCTTTTCCTAATTCTCCAGTAAAGGGTAAACATTGAGATATCACGACTTCCTTACAGTCTGCTCTGTTCCCGGTCCCCTACGGCTCTGCGTTTTAAATAATCCTGCACATAATTTGCAGTAACCATTGTAACATGATGATGTGATCAGACRAGAAAGCGCTTCAGCTGACGGTGCTGGGATCAAAGACCTGCTGATGAGGAAGCTGTGCAGTAGACTGCTCATAACAGTCAGCGAGAAGAGAAGGAGAAGTTGAGGCTGTCATTTTTTTTGTTTTAGCAAAATTCAAAAATAAGCAACAACAAAATCYCGATTTCTGTCACGTGGAAGAAAACATCCACTGATGTCTGTGACAGGAGCTCCAAAACCTGCCATGTGAATTCAGCCTTCTCATGCTTTAAAGGTTCAAACGCACGCTTTGACATCTCTAGCCCCGAAACCCAACGTGGCATAAAGTCTCAAAAAGAAATGACGCCATGTCAACATCCCGCTTTGACTCATCTTTTCTCTCTCTGTTCRTATTCATCTGTAACTCTAAGAGATATTAGAGAAAAAGTCAGCACATGAACATGCAGCCGATGCGGGCCATCATTAGCTGCTTTCTGTTCTTGATCAAAAGTATTATAAAAGCAAACGAAGTGGACGAGTCCACCTGGCAAACTGTAAAGTCTGTTGCGTGGCAACTGACTGATGAAGCCTGCAGATTTTTCAAGTGTTGCTAAATTGCTGCTATGTATATAAAATCACAATGACTCACAGCTGCTTCTCTGGGATACATTTTTTTTTCTGAATTCAAGTCCAGATGGTTTGAGTCATAATTAGTTGTACCTTTTTTTTGGACAGTTGTTTTATTCAGTAATCTAAAATCTGGTGTCTCTTTGCAACTTGCAAATTGCACTTGAATTAGCAGTGTGTAATAGCTGACAGCATGGGATTCATGGGCTTTGTCTATAAACAGCCTGCAAACTGTGGTTTACTTAACAGGAGATAAATGAGTTAACACAATGCACTAAGTGTTGTCTGACATATCTGACTGGCTAAATGTTTCCAGCACAGCAGCCAAACATCTCCAAACATGTAGCAAAAAAAAAAAAAAAAAAAAAAAAAAAAAAA